ATAATCTGAATGTAAGAAAAAAGTTTTATCTTAGGCCTCCTAGGCACATAACATCACTGTTTGAGAGGTCTTTTTCTTATAATGTTTGTAAGTTATGGAATTCTTTACCAGGTAACATCAAGAACATCTCCTCCTTACCTCTTTTCAAATCTGCTAGTAAACAGTACCTACTACAATCTCAATAAGCCACATTAACTATCACTATCTCGCATCAACTGTTGCCAATCTGGACGTTTCGTGAACCATCCTAATTATACCGTAGATTTTATTTCTTTCCTCTTTCTTTCTTCTATTTATATTGTAAATTTTATTTTCTTCCTTCCTGTTGCTGATTTTGGTCCAAGTGGAAGACCAGGAGCGGCGCTTGTGCCTGTCCCTGAACTTGCACCTATTGTCACTCATAAATGTATCAACAAAGAAATGTTATTTATTTGCTGTTTGTTCGGTTGACAATAAAGACATTTATTATTATTATTATTATTATTAATTATAAACGGAGTACGTTATAAACATTTATTTATTAACGGCAGCGTTGATTAAGTGTATGATTACTTATTCAATGATAGCAGTTACGACAATTACTATAATATGTCCAGGTTCAACGGCTAGCATAGAGCTTATTCATACCATCTATGTCATCTTGATGGAGTTTGTCTATTCCGCCACCCTTATACCAGGGGTACATTACAGCTTCCTCTACTTCTGAATGTTCCAACCCCATGGAGTGACCCAATTCGTGGACAGCCACGCTGTAGAAGGAAGTATAATCTAGAAAAATCCAAGCGTTAGGTATTATAAAATCGACATAGTTAAAAAATAATTTACCGCCCATTCCATCGATATCCCACTTTTCGGATGCATCGAAATGGACGTCGCCATCATCGGGGAAGAACGCATGGGCCAAGACACCGCCGCGTCCATCAAAAGGATATCTGCGGAAATTTATTGTCAGCAACGGTATTTGCTTACACCTCGTCTATACTAACCCATCTCCATGATCGTGACTGCCAAAATAGGTAATGATATCAGCTTCCGATTTATTGGTAGTGGGGTGGAAAGTAGTACCGCTGGTATGCCCGGACCAAAGTCTCAAAGCGGCACCAAAGTAGGAAGAGTATTCTTCGTGAGTTAGGTAACTAGTTCCAGTTCCAATGCTGTGAATAATAAAGTCAATTAGGTACCCAACAGTTAATTTTCAACAGACATACTAGAACTCTACTTGTTTCTTCGTCCAGCCCTTGTACGCATTGTAGCGCGGTTTGCCGTTTTCATAATCTGCCACACCGCAGCGAGGTTTCTTGATTAACTATAAAGAAAATGAAATTTTTTCTGCTTGTTTAATCTGTCATTACCTCAATGGTAGCTTCATCTATGACACCAGTTTCGGGAACTTTGCCCATTCTTTGCAATTTTTTGATGGCGTCAGTTAGACTTGCTCTGTTTTGAAGATCTTCTTTTGTTGCGTACCCAAATCGCACCAAATAATTATGCTAAATAGGTTTAAAACAGGGGTTAGTTGGTACGTAGGGATAAAATAATGACAAAAACTTACAACTTGATCTTCTGAACTAATTGCAGGAGCTGCGTACACGCCTGAAAGAAATTGCGTTGTATTATTTTGATAAAATAGATGAAAAATGTACTATACCAGCGGCGAAGATAGCCAAGGTAACGATGAGTAAACCCTTCATGGTTATTCTTCGGACACCTTTACAAAAGTGATTCTGAATGGCTCGGAGCAGTTATTTATACTAGAGAAGTGAAGAGGTTTCGATAAACCTTTTTCGTTATTTGATAAGGTGATAACGAGGATTATCATTTGTAAAATTAGGTCTTTCATTTAATTCATTACCCAAAATCATTGCTATACTTATAGGTCACCGATTATGAAAATGGTATGCTGGCATCGATATACAAGCTGTACAAGCTGGAAACTGACTATTTTCCTATTGAAATTCGGCTATTCCGAACGCTGGATTGACTTATTGATAAACGAAAAAATAAAACGACTAGCAACTCAAATTTGAGCACAATTATTTACTAGATTCAAGGCTTAGAAACACAGAAGCCAAAGAAGTTTAATTGTATCTCAGAAGTGTGCACCCTGTGTGAACCTTTTGAAATCTTTCGAAGATGAATATGCACCTGTAGGAAGAATAAAAAATGAACATAATGAAAGATTATTTAGAAGGGTGCGCTAAAGAGTAGGCAAACCTGCACCAAAGGCAGTAGAGAAATTTTTACATATTTCAGAAAGAATGTTTATAACAGTTTTGGTCAATTGCAAATGATATAAAATTAGATATAAACTTAGCGAAACATGGTAGTTAAGGTTGTCATGGGCAAAAGATTATAAAAGAGTCAATGCAGTACAAGAAAGACGAGATTGCGATGGACCGAGTCCACTTAGAATATGGTACCACTATTAGAAATTATGAAGAAAGGAGGCCACAGAGGTAGGATAGGGAAAGAGAAGATCAGGGAAACGAGTAGAGGCTGGATCAGCAGTTCCACAATAACGAAGGGAACAAACCAATCACATAAATTTTGTCAAAAGTTTTGTTCAAAGAACCATTTGTTCTTTCATCTTCGATGAGGCAGTAGCACAAATTTCTGGATTCGTTAGAAAGCATATGATTTCAGTAACGTAAACGTATACTTCATGTTTTGTTTGGTACATCTTAGCAAAAAAGATAATAGGGCAAAATGGAGCAGATGTAGCGCGTTGTCTTTATTTTACTATAGGCGTGTGCATCGAACATTCGCGGAACAGTTTATGTCATGTTAGGGCAACACTTCCTCTCAGAATTAATGAATATTCCACTTCTTGAATTTTTTGTTGTGTCTTCTTAGGCATTTCGAAATTTCAAAAAAAAATTATAAGAGCGACTCAATCCATAATATAAGTCTATTTTTATCCATTTTAAGGTGGTACTATAATTTATTGCTGCACTAAGTTTGAGAATGGAGAAACTGAATGGTATGACACGTTTTCACTTAATTGATTGACATCATACAAAATTGTCCATACCCTGGATGACAAACCAAACCCGGTTCGAGACCTTTGTCACGTATTAAATTGAGTGCATCTACAATTACGAACCATAATATTCTTATCAATCATTTTTATTCATTTCAAGATGTGAGTAATGGCCGGTCGAAATTTTGCAAATTTTTCGAATATCGATTTGGATTTGTACTAAAATTGGATAAACCTTTCTTCCTTTTGGGGATAAAATTTTTTTTCGCTTTGTAACTATTGTAGTATGACATCATGTTGGGTTCATTGTATTAAACTTCCTTGTGCCGCGATTCGCAATAAATGGGATCACAGAAAATTCTCAGTGCAAAACAGGATGCAGATAACGAATAAATATCGGATTTCTTTAGATAAGCTTTTTATCGTTGAGTCACCAGCCAAGCTTGGGAAAGCTGGTTCTGCAAACGCTGAAAAAATTAGTTGATAAGTATTCCCCAGTTAATTGGTTTAGATGGAGGCCATTGTATGAGAAGTACCAGTAATAAAAAAGATCAGCCATTTTGCAACGATTAAGGGGCGTGAATATGTTAGGAGAGAGTTAAGAGGAAAAAATTTTTAAAAAATTATGACTGTGTAGCCGGGCCGAAGAGATCGTAAATTTTCAATCGCGTGCATTAAGCACCAAATAAGTGATTCCGTTTAAGTGACGGTCGATATTAGTCCAAGTTTAAGTACAGTTTTGCACCATTAGTTAAAACGTGAAATTTCCATTGTGTAAATTTCACGCCCGAAGAGAAAAAGTAAATCGCGGAATCTTAGTTAAAAATTTGTCAAGCGTATTGTGCTATGAAATCATCCACATAGTGTTGAAATTAAAATTAGACGTGGACATTACGTATCAAATATAAAGCGCTAAGTAAATTCGAGCGATAATAGCGGTGTGATATGAACCATTGTTCTTAAAGGAAAATAATACGAGCGCATTTTTGGCATCTATCCGACGGAACAAATTTGAACGTTTCACCCATTTGCCGTTGTGTTAAAATTTACTATTGTGCCTCCTTGGAATATAACCATCAAAGTTTTTTAAGTGTGGATAGCCGTTTTCATCAAAGTAATGTGTTTTAAAAGTTCAATGTAATAGTTTGTTATGAAAAAACTTCTTTAAATCGACCAAAAATCAGGCAAATTAATTCACGAACTTACTCAAATTAAGGTGTTCACATCAATAAAATTTCACTGTGGGATTATACCTACAAAACTACATGTTTTTGGAAAATCTCGTCTACCTTCTACAAGGAAAATAACCTACTCAACAGCGAGCCAAGGATTTTTCAACTGTAAACATCAGTTAGCATTCTAAAAGTTGCAGTCTACCCCATCCATCAATCAACGAGCATGTAAAGGGCTTCCCAATCTTCATCGAAGTCCTGGAATTTTAAAGGTTAGTCTATTTGGAATATTTTCATTGTAATAAAAAATAAAGTCAATTTGTGTGTATTTATATGTTTTATGATATGTTTTAATCGATTGTTTATTGAATCAATTTCCTTAAAGAAGGTAATTAATTATATTTGAAATAGTGGAATTTGTGTCAAGGAAAATTCAGTATAAAAAATAATATTCACCTCTTCAAGGGAAAGAACATATTGTGAGTTGGCCAACAGAACTAATAATATTCAAATTTTTTGATAGCTTAATAAGGTTTTAGTCATATTTCCCAATTTTTATAATATTGATTGTAAAGATCGCAATTTTCTGGAATGCATTGGATTTTGCATTAAAATAAATGAATGAAATTATGGCCATTGAGTTGATGATTTTTCAACGGGAAGTTAGATGAGAAGTAGAGTAATTAACACCAGTAAAAAGTGAATTAGATACCTGATTTTTCGTTGGAAGTAAGACAGTAGAAATTTTGTATGTAAGTATTTGAGCTAGTCGGAAGCGAGGTAAAGATTTTGTGATTTTATTAAGAATTAGCGAATTTTGGTGAGATAAGCTATCCAAAAAGGTTGATGAGGTGAGAGAGGAGAGAAGGGAGAAGCGGGTACGTGTACCTGAGGTGGTTGTGTTTGTCCGTAAAAAGAAAGCACCGTCACATAATGTCGCCCAAAAGTGGAGCTCGAATTAGCGCCCTGAAAGAATCTCATGTTTAATACGTACGTTTGTGTTGATAGCGGTTTTTGATCCCGGAGGTAACGTGTTATTGTTGTACTAGGTCGCGGAAGATTAGGAATTTGTTTTGTCAGCAGTTAAGACGCGATTTATATAAACACCATACAGGGGCGTATCAAGGAACGGATTTAAAATTTTTATTGCGGTTTTGAAGTAATTTGTGGACATTTTATTATTGATTTAAAGGGTAGTAGTTGAGCGCTACGGTAGAAATAAATATTTCAAAGAGGCGATCAGAATTGCTGGTAACTTTCAAACAATTTGGCGCAAATTATTGTTGTTTATTTGAAAATACAGGTGGATAGGAAGGTAAGTCCCTTGTTTTATGGAACTACGTTCAGGATTCAAGAAAACCACGAGGAAAATACCTAAGAAAATGGAAGCGAAAAACCAAGAGAGCCAAAACGTAGTGGAGGCGCAACCATTCTCACCGGAGAGCCAAGATCTTTTCGGAAGCTACGAGATGCCACAACCCAGCCATGGAGGGGGTGAAACCAGCCACCAGGAAGTACAACCAGGTGCAGCACCAGGTGAATTAAACCGAAGCCTGGGAGAACCCATAACAACTATGCAACCTCAAACCACCAGCGGACCTGGAGAAATACTACGATTAACTAATATGATAGAGATGATTATCCAACAGTTAGGAGAAGGACAACGAAAAATGGGTGAAGGGCAACAGAAAATGGAAATGAAAGTGGATGCAGTACAACATCAAATGGGCGAAGGGCGACAAGAAGCCAAGGAAGATATACAGAAAATAGAAGGAGCCCTACAAGCAACCAAAAGAGACCTACAACAACAAATAGGAGAAGGACAACACAGAATGGAAGCGATACGGCAGGAACTAAGGTCTACACAAGCTCAATGGGAGAAAAAAATTCAAACCGACTACAACCAGCTCAGAGAAGAAACCCAGGTGGGAATCAAAGAAAATAAATTGGAGATTCAAGCGACGAGAGCTGAAATGGAATACAGCCAGAAGAAAGCCTATGAGAAGTGGGATGAGAAGCTGGAAATGCACACGACTAGAACAACAAGCAAGTTTGAAGAACAAGAGGAAATAATTCAAGACATTCAGGCCAAACATGGGAATTTCAAGGAGCGAGTCAAGGATGCAATTGTGGAAATTGAAGGAAGTATGAAGAAAAACGAAGAGCGAATTGACCATCAGGATGAAGAAATAGGAATCATCAAGGCGAATTTAGAAGCTCGACCAGCCAAGGAAACCAATTCCCATCCAGCAATTATTTACAAGGCGGATCATTTACTTCACCAGAAGCCTAAGAAATTTGACGGCAACATTTGGACTATCCATCCAGTCAGCTTTTTGGAAGGACTGGAAAATTATTTAAGACATTTCGATAAAAAAGATGAAACCAAGTTATCATATGCCAAGGAAATGGTGGAAGGGAATGCCAAAGCATGGGCTGATTTGAATCGTAACAACTGGAAGACTTGGGAGGAATTTAAGGACGCTTTTATCAAGAACTACTGGTCTGAAGAGGTACAAGGCAAAATACGACTTCAAATAGCTACACCCAGACTATATCAAGCGAAATTTGGAAAGTACACCGACCATGTTTGGTTTTGGGTAAATAAGACCAACCACCTGCAACCTCCAATGAGAGAATCCCAGCTTGTCGACGCTTTATCCCGACATTTTCCAAGAGAGGTGGAGCACATCCTCATAGGATCAGCAGTGAACACCGTCAAACAACTTATCAACACTCTTGAACGAATCCAAACCTCAAATCAAGAAACCAGGCCAAGATATAATGGACCAAATAGAAGTCAAGAGAACACCAGAGAGGAGCCAGAGAGGCAAGAGCAGAGAAGACAAGTAAACTACATACGAGGTGGATACAACAACTTCCAACAATTACAGAAGAGGAAGGGGCAATTACGGACCAAATAGAAATTTTGAAGTGAGAAGGAGAGCAGAGGCTCCCCAGCCGGAAAACTACCAGAGCAGGGACCAGGAGCTCCACTAGTCCCTCAGACATCACGAAGATCTCTGGAGCAAACAAGTTTATTAACCAGCGTTCACAATTATTTCCAACGATTACGACAAAAACCTACTAACACAACAAATGAAAAACAAATTCAAGATAATAAAATCACATCAATAGGAACAATCAAACATCAAGAAAGAAATTATGAAGAGGAAAAATTAAACAACTTTATTGAAGATTTTAAACAAATTCAACCAGAAGAAGAGGATGAAGAAAATATTTTGAACAACAATGAACAACAAAATTTGAGCGACGATGAAAAGGAAGAGGAACCGATACTAATGAATCAAATTAAAGAAAATTATCAAGATGATGAAGATTTTTTGAGCGATCAAGAAGAAGAAGCAGAGATTATTGATGATGGACAACCAATTATAATAGGAAAGCTGGAGGGGGTGGAACAACAGTTATTATTGGACACCGGTAGTCAAGTCAGCGTGGTTTCCGAAGAAGTTTTTGAATTTATACAAAGAAAAAATCCAAGAGTTATCACATTACCAGTTAGTGGAATCACGATTCAAGGAATTACTGGGAAAATAGTAAAGGTTGTCAACCAAGCCCTACTCACCTTACAGATTCAAGACAGTACACATGAACAGAAATTTTTGGTTGTGAAGAAATTAGAAACAACAGCAATATTAGGCACCGATTGGATGAGAGACAAGAAAGCCAAGATTGATATGGACAGAGATGAAGTTTATTTTCAAGACAATGATGTCGATTACTACATTCGGTTTCAAGGAAGAAGTTTGAAAATTAGAACAGCAAATCTTCAAGTAAATCAGCCTACGGGAAGTAGAGAAGAGAATGAAGCCATCGAAGAATTGATTAGTCAATATGAAGATATTTTTTCAACCAAGCCAGGATTAGTCAAGACGAAAAAGAACCAACCAGCAATTACCATCGGAAAAGTGAAGAAAAAGAAAGAAGATAAGAAATTGAAAAATATACTCAAGAATATCAAGACTGAACAAGATGAAGACGAGAAGTGTAGTTGGATCAAGAAAGAAATTGAAGAAAAGGTTTTGTAATCCCCGTGTAGGGACGGGAGTAGCATGCTACATGTAGAATATTCCTACTGCAGAGGACACTGCATGTCGTAAGAGGCGACTAATCAACAGTCCAAGCCCCCCCCCCCATTGTTTCCCTTGATTTGGGACATTTTTGTCTACTACCTTTGGCTATAGTGAAGCCTCGTGTTTCTTTCTTTTAAGGAAATATTTTTTAATCCGTACAAAATCTTACAATCCTGAGGAATTGGGATTTCTCCATTTTATAATATTGAATACTTTTATATACTGTCTAATATATCTTGCCCTCCATAAGTGCAATAGTGATGCACGTACCATAAGTGCAATAGTGATGCACGTCTCATTATTTGTCTTATATTTGACCCTCCTTAGCAACAGTGATGCTTTTTTAGGATTCAGGATTTTTCTTATATTTGAGATTTTTGGGATTTAGTTTAGGATTTGTATATACGTTTTTCCACACACAAAAGTAGGTTAGTATTATGGACTACTTGACATGCTAGATTATTATGCGTTGACTTCTATAGGATTTTTTGATATGAGTATACCGATTTTTGACATATTTTTTTCGATTTGTGATTTTATGGATTTTGTCCTTTTTGAACGGTCAGGAGGCGAGCTTAAGAGCTACTCTCCAGCTATGGAACCGTGTTGTGAGGGAGTTTTTGAGTTTCGTGAAAGGTTTTAGAGTCTTTGAAGGTGATGCCACCAGGAATGGTGAAGGTCCTCCCACATTTTTAGATGTTTGTGGATAGTTTTGTGAAGAGTGGTGCTGGACAGACGATTATTTTAATATTTTACGAGTTAGGATGAGTTGAAGGTTCCCTTCGTAGGTCCTTCAGACCGCCCCGCTTTTCGGGAATCGATGTAACATTTAGGAGGTTGCTACCCCTATTTCAAGACCAACACTTCTTAGTTGGGTGCTTATGTTGTGGCGTCATAAGTACAGTTTTTTTTTTTATGTAGTACCAGAGGTAGGTTCTTTCTACGGTACTACATGCCAATTTTTTCCTTCTTCTATGAGACAATTTCAACTTTTTTGTTGGAACATTTTGATAGTAGGCGTGTATATTTTTAACATTTTGATATTTTGTAAAACATTTTTCTGGTTCTGAGTAGAATCTTGTTTAGAATTTTTGTGTGAAAATTTTTTTTTTATATCACCCAATTTTTATTTTGTTGTTTTCCAAACTCATCATGCTTCTTCGTTTAAAAAACAGAAGGGGGTACTGTAACGGGTGGAGTAATGGCCGGTCGAAATTTTGCAAATTTTTCGGATATCGATTTGGATTTGTACTAAAATTGGATAAACCTTTCTTCCTTTTGGGGATAAAATTTTTTTTTCGCTTTGTAACTATTGTAGTATGACATCATGTTGGGTTCATTGTATTAAACTTCCTTGTGCCGCGATTCGCAATAAATGGGATCACAGAAAATTCTCAGTGCAAAACAGGATGCAGATAACGAATAAATATCGGATTTCTTTAGATAAGCTTTTTATCGTTGAGTCACCAGCCAAGCTTGGGAAAGCTGGTTTTGCAAACGCTGAAAAAATTAGTTGATAAGTATTCCCCAGTTAATTGGTTTAGATGGAGGCCATTGTATGAGAAGTACCAGTAATAAAAAAGATCAGCCATTTTGCAACGATTAAGGGGCGTGAATATGTTAGGAGAGAGCTAAGAGAAAAAATTTTTAAGAATTAATTATGATTGTGTAGCCGGGCCGAAGAGATCGTAAATTTTCAATCGCGTGCATTAAGCACCAAATAAGTGATTCCGTTTAAGTGACGGTCGATATTAGTCCAAGTTTTGTACAGTTTTGCACCATTAGTTAAAACGGGAATTGTTCCATTGTGTAAATTTCACGCCCGAAGAGAAAAAGTAAATCGCGGAATCTTAGTTAAAAATTTGTCAAGCGTATTGTGCTATGAAATCATCCACATAGTGTTGAAATTAAAATTAGACGTGGACATTACGTATCAAATATAAAGCGCTAAGTAAATTCGAGCGATAATAGCGGTGTGATATGAACCCTTGTTCTTAAAGGAAAATAATACGAGCGCATTTTTGGCATCTATCCGACGGAACAAATTTGAACGTTTCACCCATTTGCCGTTGTGTTAAAATTTACTATTGTGCCTCCTTGGAATATAACCATCAAAGTTTTTTAAGTGTGGATAGCCGTTTTCATCAAAGTAATGTGTTTTAAAAGTTCAATGTAATAGTTTGTTATGAAAAAACTTCTTTAAATCGACCAAAAATCAGGCAAATTAATTCACGAACTTACTCAAATTAAGGTGTTCACATCAATAAAATTTCACTGTGGGATTATACCTACAAAACTACATATTTTTGGAAAATCTCGTCTACCTTCTACAAGGAAAATAACCTACTCAACAGCGAGCCAAGGATTTTTCAACTGTAAACATCAGTGGGCATTCTAAAAGTTGCAGTCTACCCCATCCATCAATCAACGAGCATGTAAAGGGCTTTCCAATCTTCATCGAAGTCCTGGATTTTTTTAAAGGTTAGTCTATTTTTCATTGTAATAAAAATAAAGTCAATTTGTGTGTATTTATATGTTTTATGATATGTTTTAATCGATTGTTTATTGAATCAATTTCCTTAAAGAAGGTAATTAATTATATTTGAAATAGTGGAATTTGTGTCAAGGAAAATTCAGTATAAAAAATAATATTCACCTCTTCAAGGGAGAGAACATATTGTGAGTTGGCCAACAGAACTAATAATATTCAAATTTTTTGATAGCTTAATAAGGTTTTAGTCATATTTCCCAATTTTTATAATATTGATTGTAAAGATCGCAATTTTCTGGAATGCATTGGATTTTGCATTAAAATAAATGAATGAAATTATGGCCATTGAGTTGATGATTTTTCAACGGGAAGTTAGATGAGAAGTAGAGTAATTAACACCAGTAAAAAGTGAATTAGATACCTGATTTTTCGTTGGAAGTAAGACAGGAGAAATTTTGTATGTAAGTATTTGAGCTAGTCGGGAGCGAGGTAAAGATTTTGTGATTTTATTAAGAATTAGCGAATTTTGGTGAGATAAGCTATCCAAACGGGTTGAAGAGGTGAGAGAGGAGAGAAGGGAGAAGCGGGTACGTGTACCTGAGGTGGTTGTGTTTGTCCGTAAAAAGACAGCACCGTCACATATGTCGCCAAAAGGGAGCTGAAATAGCGCGCCTGAAAGAAATCCATTTTTAATACGTACGTTTGTTTTGATAGCGGTTTTTGATCCCGGAGGATAACGTGTTAATTGTTTAGCTAAGTCGCCCGGAAGGATTACGGGAATTTTTGTACAACAGTTACAGACCCGCGATTTTAATAGAACACCATACAGGGGCGTATACAAGGACAGACGGATTTAAATTTTTATTGCGCGTTTTGAAGTATATTTGTGACATTTTATTATTGATTTAAAGGGTAGTAGTTGACGCTACGTAGAAATAATATAAAAGAGGCGATCAGAATTGCTGGTAACTGTTCATCAACATTTGCGCAAATTAGATTGTTGTTTAGTATTGAAAATACAGAGGTGGATGGAAGATAAGTCCCTTGTTTATGAACTAACGTTCAAGGATTCAAGAAAAACCACGAGGACAACATACTAAAAAATGGAAGCGAAAAACAAGAGAGCCAAAACGTAGTGGAGGCGCAAACCATTTCAACCGAGAGCCAAGATCTTTTTCGAAAGCTACGAGATGCACAACCCAGCACATGGAGGGGTGAAAACCAGCCACCAGAAATACAACCAGGGCAGCCACCAGGTGAATTAAACCGAAGCCTGGGAGAACCCATAACAACTATCAACCTCAAACCACCAGCCGGAACTGAGAAATATAACGATTGAACTAATATGAAGAGATGATTATACCAACAGTAGGAGAAGGACAACGAAAATGGGTGAAGGGACAGAGAAATGGAAATGACAGTCGGAGTGCAGGACAAAGAAAAAAGAGGTGAAGGCAAAGAAAATATAAAAGGAAGCTTCTACAAGCAACCAAAGAAGACCTACAACAAGCAAATAGGAGACAGGACAACACAGAAAATAGGAAGCGATAACGGCAGAGAAGAGGTCTTACACAAGCTCAGACTAGAGAAAAATAAAAAGAACTACAACCACTCAGATGAAGCACGAGCGTGGGAATCAAAAAAGAGAGTAGAGATTGGAGATAATGAGAGAGAGTGAGTAAGGGCCCAGAAAAGAAGTGCCTATTAGATGCGGATGAAAAGAACTCTGGAGATACACAGCGTGAGTAGACAAACAGAGCAAGTTTGAAAGATAGCAAAGAGAGAAATAATTTCAATGAAGAGAGGCCAAAACATGGAATTTAAGAGCGAGTCCAAGGATGCGAATTGGTGGAAATTGAAGGCAGTGTGAAGAAAACGCAAGAGCGAGAATTGACCGAATATGATCGGAGGAGAATATAGGGTAATCCATCAAGGATGCGAGTTTATTATTAGCTCGCCCAGCTCAAGGAAACCAATTCCCATTCCAGCGCAATTAATTTAACAAGAGGCGGATCATTTACTTCACCAGGAACCTAAGAAATTGACGGCAACATTTGGAACCATCATCCAAGTCAGAGCAAGCTTTTGGAAAGTGACTGGGAGAGAAGATTATTATAAGACATTTCGAATAAAAAAAATGAGAACCAAGTTTACAAAGTTGATGCAGGAAATTGTGATAGGGAATGCCAAAGCATGGGCGTGATTTGAATCGTAACAACTGGAAGACTTGGGAGGAATTTAAGGAAGCCTTTTATCGGAACTAACTGTCGAAGAAGTAAACAAGGCAAAATCACTCAAATAGCTACACCCAGACCTAATCTCGCAAGAAGACTAAATTTGGGGAGAAGTACAATAGTGACCGACCATAGTTTTGTTTTGGTACTAGGCCACCAACCAACCTCACTACAAATGAGAGAAATCCCAGCTTGTCGGACGCTTCTATCCGACATTTCCAAGAGAGGTG